AGTACTTTCCAAATGCTTTTCTAAGAAGCACTTTGATATTTAACAAAAATTCCAACGTGTTTATTCCAAAACCTGCCCAGATAGACCGCAAGCGATGGATTTTTGGAGGAAATCTAAAATAAAAAGTGCAAGAACCTCCGCAAAAAAGTAATATAAAAACCAAAGAAAGTAAATCTGGGAATATATCCAGGAGGCTTCATATGGTCAAAATTCACCTAACCTACCCATGCTGCCAAATCAAAGGCAAGAAAATTGGAATTTGATTCCATTTCCATTTGAGCGCTTCAAACAGAAGAAAGGACTTCTTCCATCTTACCTGGAACAAAATCTTTCGGCATAATTCGCCCCCTGTGGCAGCCAGAAATCGTGTAATCCCTTTCACTTAGATCGACACAAGGATGGAACAATATCAGCAAAACAAGTATGACCGAGATCAAAATATTCAACGAATCGCTAGAAAAAGAGTCAGACAATTTATTATGGTGATTGATAGAATAGCAAGCCAATACCTCGCAAAACAATTGAGTCATGGACTCGATACTATGAAAACATGAACACAAATGTCTTAAAAGGCTGCTCATAATTCTCCACAAACATCTACAAGGAATAATTCGCATTCCAGAAGATTTAGATATCCAACCTCCATGGGTACTTCTTTCACCGGATGGTCCTAAAGAAACTCAGTAATCTTTCTTTCCAAAGTTCTTGCACCAGAGTTGTGAAGGAATTGGGCGAACAGGATTATGTGGCCGTTGCTGCAATAAATATATAAGTCCTCTTAGAACTAATCATGACCATAGTTATGCAAATTTCAGTCATTCGACCATACAAAGGGAGTGGCACAAATCAATTCAAGAAGAACAGCATCTAATCCCACCAGAACTGTTTGCCTTTTTGAACAAGTAATTAAAAAATTTCAGCTCATGTTCATGCATTGTCAAGGAATATTTTTAGAATAGTAGCAATATTAATGAATATTAAGTATAAGGAGCATCCGAAAGAAATAATATAACAAAGACAACTTTTTGCAAATACAAAGGAACTAAAAAAGCTAACAGACAAGTAACTTCCTTTAGTTGCACAAAGTTTCATGACATATAAAAAGTATGACATAGCTAACTGACTAACAAACAATTCCTTCGATCCCGCTATATCTGAGGCACTAAAAATCTGTATGCAAACATGGATACATCTTGTCACACTTCAAAAAGGCCATGTATCTGCATAATCCTTAGCCTAAGGGCTTCAGCTAGAATGCACCATTTATTATTGACTGGCAGTCTAAAGCACCACATAAGGTTTACTCCCATGACAAGGAAACTTGCACTTTAGCCTAATTTTCAATAGCTTAAAGTATCAAACAAGCCTCGTAATTACTATTAGCAAGGTTTTGTATTTGAGTTTTCAACAGTTTAGCATACTAACCAAGCATAATGACCCCAAAATTGTCACATGTAAACTTCCAAATATGCAGAGAGTTTTTTTCAGAAACAAAAAAGAAAAGAGGATAAACCGCAACACCAGTACATCAATTAGAGGCATTTAATAACCAAAAAAATTAACCGGGCACATAGTTATGAACATAAGCAAGAAGCAAGATAATTTATCTAAGTCACAACTCACAAGTTACATCTTTGCGCACAATGTTTTTTATACTTAAAACAGTTAGTGACAGAAAATTTGCTGTTCCTGAACGTAGGTAATTAATGAAACTCAAGGCTTCATATGAAAAATAGAAAGGAAGAAACTAAACTATTCTTCTGGCCAATTGTCTGGAAAAAATAAAATAAAAAAACTTAGGGTGCGTTTGTTGCACTAGACTATCTCGGACTGGATTAGCATCAAGGACTAACCTAAACTAGCTTGGCATGGACTAAGTAGTACTAGAATTGTGAAACGTTTAGTGCGGTGCTGGACTAGGTAGGACTAGATTTTTATTTTTAATTATAAGAACTTCCACTTTCTTGTCTAAAAAACTAGAATACACTCTATAATAAAAAAAATAAAAAATAAAAAATAAAATCAAAGCCAAAAATCAGATCTTATGCCGAATACCAAAGAATCAAAATCTTGAATTTTCTATCTTTCCCGTCAAAGAGTTGAGTTGCAGCAATATACAAGGCCAAATTGACAAATAATTGCAGTGAAAAAAAATTAAAAAAATGCAGAGACAATGCTACATCCCATAAAAAAACAAAAGTGATGGGAGAGGTTGCAGAAGAAGAAGAAGAAGAAACTTGGAAAGGATGGAGCAGTTTTCTTGATGGATTTGATCAGAAAAAATTGTTTAGGCGTGTTAAAAATGGTGGGGGAGACCAAATTGGGAGTGGGTATTGGAGGCCTTGATGCGTTGTGGGCTGAAGCATTGGGATTTGAAGCTTGCAAGAGCTTGGCATCCATGGCGGTCACGACGACAACCGAAGCAAATAGTTGCCACAACGCCCTTTTCCTCCCAACAATCTGCAGATCCGACGCGAATCCCATCTGAGATTCAAAAACAACAAAGACCAGAACTCGCAGGGGGTGAAGCAAGGAGGAGGAAGAAGCCAGTTTTGAAAATGGATGTCGAAGTGGGGAAGAAGAAGTAGATGTGAGGGGCAAAGCGGAAGCGAAGCAGAGAACCAGAGATGGTCTTAGCAAGTCCCGTGGTCTGGGGAGGGTCTCGCTAAGAACTTCTAGCGAGGCCTCTAGTCCAAGCAAGTCCCCTTTAGTCTCATTTAAGTTAGTCCCAGCACGGACCAAACATGGGACTACATTAGTATGTAGTCCAATCCAGTCCAGTCAAACTTAGAGAGCCCAAACAAACACACCCTTAGGGCTTAAACATCTTCTTTTTTTTTCCACGTACAGAGGCTTAAACATCTGACGGTTCATTAAAAAAGGAAAATCATTTCTAGTATAAGGGTATCTCACACTAGGCTTGTTAATAGAGCATACTTATGTAGAAAATCATTAAGGGAAAGCCAAGAACAAATAGACCAGACCAGCTTCAAGTTACAAAACCTCATATCTTCAAACAAAAAATGTTATAAAAAACATTTCACTGCAAAGCCAACTTAAGTAAAGAGAAAACTAGGTAATCCTTTTAAGCGGATCTTAATCCAATTCTCTAAATTATCTCAAACGCTAGTTTTCATGGGTTTTCCTTCATGTTTGAGCATTGTCAATTTCTGAATCCTTCATCACAACCTCTACCAGCATCTTCTAAATCATTCAAAACACTCTTCTCATACCAATCTGTATCTAAGACACAGTTGTAGTATTGTACCAAACTCACAGCTGCTATGAATATTTCAATTGACCTAATCCCTTGTTATTAGCCCTTACTTAACCTAAATTTACTGTTTTCTCAACATTTTAAACCAAGGGCCTCCCACCCACAAGTTAACAAACGTACAGTGCCAGATCACAATGGCGATCTTCAACCCTGAATAGAATCAGTAATAACCAAAATCTGAAACACGTTGTATATAATCCACTATAACCAAACAACAACAAAGCTAAGTGGGGTCGGCTATAGGAATCCTAGAACGCCACTGCGCTCGATTTTGTGCCATGTCTTCAATATAATCCACTATAACCATGGAAAAAAGCAGCTGAGAGTTTCACCAAATATATCTGAAAGGTACGCTTAATTTCACAAAGTGAAGATCTAAACCTCAACTAAATCCAAACAATTCATGAGAACCTCAGTTCAGTCAAGCTTATAGTGCATTCTGATCCTAACAATTTTACAATCCAAGCTCCAAAACTCTACCTTCTTAAATTTTCTCGGTAACCAAACGGAAGTCTAACAAAATGAATACCAACAAAATAACAGAAACATAAAGCGATGAATGAGTTGATTGAGAAAGACCTCGAGCTCGGCAGATTTCATGGCGATAGGAATGCAGACAAGGAAGATGCCGGCCATGGCAATGGCGGTGTTGCGCTTCCAGTGCTTGGGCCTACAGTATGGCCCACCACTCATGCTCCACACCTTGGCCCTGAAATCACCGCCGTGGGCCCCATCTCCGTGTGCGTGCTCACCTCCTCCCATGCTCGATCACAGATACTCTCGCCTCTCTTTCTCTGTTGCGCAATTATAGGAAAATGGATCAGATACGAAACAATTGAAACCCTAATCAGACCAAATACACAAAAATATATATAGGTTGTGTGTGCGAATGGAAGGATTGGGGGGGTTTTGGTTGAAAGTGAACGAACCAGAGTGAAAGGGTTGTGAAGTTTGATTCAGGCGAAGAAGATGACAGAGGGCTGTGTTTGGCTGCTCAGTCTCAGTGTTATTGGTCGTCGTTTCGAACTATGGATTGGAAGTTACAAAGTTTCGGGTTGGCCCAAATGTTTTGATGGGTTAGGAGCCCAACTGGTTAGGGTGGCAAATGTTGAAATATATCACATTGACGGTAACTATGAGAAAAGAAGAGTTTAAATATCCTAACCTCACTCTAACGTATCTCTGAGAAAAGAAGAGTTTAAATATCCTAACCTCACTCTAACTAATACCGAGACATTTTGTGATAAAACCTCACACCTGACAACCAAGTTGGGGACAAACATCGATGTTGTTGCAAGTGGTCATTTGGCCCGTCTCTGATAATTTGACCACAAATTGAGGTGTTTCGTGTTTATTTTCCTCGAATACTTATAACTCTAAGGTGAGAGAAACAACTTGTGCCACTTCCACATGACATCCTATGGCAATGAAATAAAATGTGTGTAAATTTTTGTTCACAAATCCTTATTTCATTTGCACGGGAATGCCACCATGGTCATATACCCGGTCCATGTAAGTCCTTCTCATAAGGTGGAGGCTTTCGAATTTGAGAGCTCTTTGACTAAGCAGTCTAACTGAGACATTATTGTCGAGTTTCTGACCAAAACATTAGACATTCCATCCCCAGAGAGAAGTGCTTTGTCGTGCTGAGTCAGTGATCCCCAACTCACCGACATTCTGTCATTAGTTGACCCCAAGAAGGATTAAATAGAAGCGATGAACATTGAGAAGAAAGGTAACACGAGTTATATTTCGTTTCATCGACCACGTATCTTGTGAGCCAGAAATTCAGAAGTAGCAAATTTGGTACAATATATTGGTAGCATAACATCTCAAGTTTCTTGGGTTGAATAATAGTTGCTCTCTCAACAATTTGAACAGCATTTCTTTTCCAATAAAGTATGGCAGAAAGGGACGATTATTCCTGGTGCTACAACTAGGAAGCAATTTACAGTACTTCAGGCCATCAAGACGACTTAGCCTCAGTTTCAAGCGTCAATCTGACACCGTCTCTAAATGAAGTTGGAGCAATACCAAGTGTCCGAACCAGCTTAGTTATATCCATGGATATGTCGGCAGGAGACATTACTCCACGATCGACCTGAAATTACAAATGCAATACACCGCTATCCCGTAAGTTTGCAGAAAGAGGAGAAAGAAAATGGCTGGACAATATAATTGTGTGTTTTTGATGTTATTTATCGTTGTCAACGCAAGGCAATGTGGAAATCAAGTCATCAGAATTCAACTTGAAACTGATGGGCCATATATTTGTTATTTAGAAAGTGATCTAATAAACGTGCTGATCACTACGTAACTCACACATAGCAAAAAAAACAAATGGTATAAGGTCTACGTACTGATGATGCAGACACTGATTTGATTTAATGAGGGGTTGTATCCTCTAACATTGGCAACAATCTCAGCCATTTGAAGGCGGGATACCCTATCTGGTCCACCGACATTTAGTAGCACCTTTGTTTGCTTACTTTCTGCAGATTTACCACACATACCACAACCATGGAGACATAAGTAAAAGCCCCAGAGAGAATAGAAAGTAAAAACACCATAGAAACATTTTATAGCTCCACAGATTTTGCCGGTTCAACAAGTATGAAAGCATGAAAGTTAGGAAAGTATGAAAGCATGAAAGTTAGGAACTTCATACCATATATCCATCCCTTGGACAGAGCTAATATGACAGCTACAACATCTTTAACATACACTGGACACCGGAACTCGTCATGGAAAAACTCGCTCGTCTTTCCTTTGGAGAGGACACCATCTATCCACTACATTCACATGCAAATCATTGATTAGACTCGAACATAACCTATCGATCGAATTTATTACGCTGTCTTTATCATCTTTATATTAATTTGTATTCTCTGGTGGGAATTTATTAGGTAGGTGAGCTCGTAAACTACAACAACAAACTAGCAAAAATTCAACCTAGGAATGTCTTCTATGTACCTGCCTACCTGGATTGGAAGAGATTTTGGAACCGGTGAGATTGTCTGTGGCCCAAAGATGATGCTGCTTCTCAAAATTGCAAAGTTTGAGCATTTTTCGGATATGAACTGCTCTGCTGCCACTTTCGATTTCCCATATACATTTACGGGAGCAGTTTCATCATCTTCCTTGTAAAAGGACTTCACCCCTTCATAAACTGAGAGAAAATCACGTCAGTCATGAATCACGATCTAGGAATAGATGACTCATATGAGCATAAAAATAATAATACAAGGATAAGTGGCTCAATTAGAAAAATTAATGTCTTAAATGTGGATGCATCCATGCTGAAATAACAAAGAGAAGTACCAGATCGTGAATCGAATGCTGAAAAAGGTCCTGCATGCTAAACGTTCTCGTACTGAAATAAGTCGTTCAGGTCATTAAGCCTAACTCATAGAATAGAAAGTGGATGAAAACCGCCATAATTAAAAGGTTCTTCCATTCAGGGATTAATTTATGAGATGAACAACTTCAGATACCAAAGATTCCTTTTGCAAAGCATAAGGAGGCTGGAAAGTCAACCCTTAAAAATCATAATCATCTGACACGGATACCCATGATCCTCAATATGCAGGACCTCTTTCTTCACTTGGGAACATTTGAACATCAATTTTAAACAATGAAGTTTTTATAAATACAACAATTCATCAAAAGTAACCCCTCCCCCCGTTTTGTTCTCCATCTAGTGTAGACAAAGAGCACACTTGAATACAAGTCCTAAAGTATACATATAGTGCATGCTTTAACGCAACAATATCTATCCTAATTTGTAGACATTGTCTGCCTCAACTGGCAAACCACAAGAATCTCAGAATACAACATTTTCATGACTGGGGAGAATCAAAGTGTCGTTTAGATTTTTATGAATGCTCTTAAAAAAGAAGTTGTATTGGCAGCAGTGGAGACTACTATCTGCTATTATTGTTCCTCCATTTCCATTTTCTTTTCTTATTTTTTCTCTTGTCTGGTTTTGTTGAGCCATTCTTACTCACAACAGCTTAAATAGATATGTATACTAATACGAATCTAACACTGAAACAGCTAAGAGGGACTTAACCTTGATCAGTTGACAAATGGATCAGAAGAGAACTACTCTCTTCAAAGCTTGATAACCAGTTCACAAGAGAAGATGGAACATTCACAGACATAGCAGCAGCAGGATCCATTTCACAGGCACGAGGTACGGATAGTGCAGCGCAGTTTATGACCACATCAGGCTGCAAATTCAACCAATACACTCCTCAGCATTTAAAGGTTCAATATTTGAGTTAAGTACTTGAAATCTAACTCATCTGTTCATTCAACAACTATACAAAAGCGTGTATACAAAGACGCGCTGTTTGATATTTTTAGACATTGTAAGTTTCCCTAAACAACTAATGGCTTCCACATGGACAGCGTCCTAAGCAATTATCTCAAAGATTCAAAGACCCCGTATGATAGCCAAGTAAATTTAGCAGCAAAAATGAAAAAACAGTGCAACCCACAACAGGAAAAAGCAAGAAAAACCCATTCAGCAAGCACATTGCATTTTAGCTGAAAATTTTGAAACCCAGTTTACCAAAATTAATATTCCATAGAACCCACTACTCCAAATTGCAGATTCCCCAGATTGAAAATTGAAAACCACGGATCAAAATCAGCATAATTAAGTAAAATTAAATTAACTAGTATTTAAAGAAGTGGAGTAGTGGGACGAGAACTGACCCGGCCAAACGTCTGAGAAATGGCTTGAAATCCATGGCCGGTCTTCAAATCGACTTGGAAAGGCAGCAAATGTGCGTCGAGCAACGCCTGGGGGGGAGGATTGGAGTGGTGGGTAAAGGCCAGATCGAAAGGGGAGGTTGATGTGATCCCTTTCCCTTCAATCTGTGAGAACCCTTGCAGTACATGCTGGCCCAAGTAACCTGTTCCCCCAACTACCAGAACTCTCTTCTTACTCGTCATGAAATCCCACTCTCTCTTGGTGTGGAAATTGGAAATGGTGGCGATTTGGGTTTTGGAGGGAGTGGTGGCGGGTACGTGTTCTTGGGTCGGAACTTGGAAGGTGGTACTTGTACGGTTTATGAGGAAATTTCTGCTGTCGGTTGTCACTTGTTCGAAAGAAGCATATTTTCCTCTGTTTTCTTCGTGTGCTTGATTTTAAAGCCGAAGAAAATGAAGTTTGAGGGGTGGGAAGAGCCGCTTGCTTAAAATGAATCACAGTAATATATTGTCGCGATTCATTTTAAGTTCTTGATGGTGAGATTCAACATTCATTGTTTTCTCGTAGATGATTTTAAAACACTTATTTTCTTATATGTGCACTCCTTTTCTTTTTCTTCCGAACGAAGATTTTGTTAGATCAACTATTGTCAGAGTTCAAATTCACGTCATCATGCAAAAGCTTAACTCAAACTCAGAAATAAATAAGGATCTGCACCTTTAAAAAAAAAATAGCAATATGAGCTAAGTTTTATGCCATTTGCCTAAGCAATGAAGCAATGTCAATATGCTCACCTGTACATGTATCTTGACCAATTAACAAAATTTCTAAACGATGGCATACATCCTAAAGAGATTCTTCCATTTGAACTTCTCTCCAATCCATACTGATGACTACAACTTCTCCTTTTTGTCTTTTCTTTTTAACAAACGATAGCATTTACACTAAGAGAGTGAGGAAGTGAATTAAGTCTTATAATGAGTTTGCCATAATAATATGGTTCAACTTCACATTTAGCGAGAATCGAATCTAAGACCTCACTTATAGTGAAGATAAATATCACTCAACCGCAGTACTAAGTGGCTCTTTCATGTCTTCTTTAATCTTTCTAGTGTGTTTATTTATTATTATTTTTTTAGAAAGTACATTTTTCTTGTGAGAAATGTAAAATGAGATTTTAAAGTGCTAATAATTGTTTTCTTCTTTTAACGTTGATAATTTTACTTAATAAACTAATTTGTAGCCGAAACAAGGAAACGAAATAGTGATGGTGAGAGAAAAGGTGAGATAATGGAGAGTTCTAGTAGTCAGGTTGGGTGTGAAAGTCATGAGAAAGAAGAAAAGTCAAGCAACCAACAAGGAAAACAGCAACCTCTACTTCCCAATAAGAAATGCTCTCATTCACACGTCCAAGAAGGGTCGACCATGAGAAATTGGGGGCTCTAGGCGAGCTTTGAAGTGGGATTCTAAAGTTATTTGACATCCTACCCATTGTACATTTATATGTATATAAAATAAATAAATAAAGTTTCGTTAAATACATGAAAAAATTTATTTCTGCAAAACAAATCATTAAAATTAATATCAAAAGAAGAAATATATGCAAACATTACTTAAATATTGCATTTCTCGAGTTTTTAGACGTAAATGTTCTAATTAAGTTTACATAATCTAACTTTTCAACCAATTCTTTTTCAACAGACAAAATAACCAACCCATGCAATCTTTCTTGTGACATAGTTGATTGAAGATACGATTTGATCAACTTTAATTTTGAGAAACTTCTTTTTGTAAAGACAATTGTAACTAATACGGTTAACATAATACGATAACCAACCCATGCATACATAAAACAACCATCCATTTGTCTCAGATATTTCAACACATCCGTTGCCCGATTTATTTCCTTCGGTAAAGTTTCTCCCAAGATTCTTAGCTCTATAAATAATTATTTCCCATCAATATCAGAATGCTCACCATGATTCAGAAATCCTTCAAGATTGATACAAAAACTCTTCAAGCTATCATTGTCTGCATCTTTTAATTTCTTCAAATTAAACAAAAGCCCAAAATTTTTTTTGTATTTCTGAAATTGTTCAAATCTAATATCAAATGAAGTACAAGCTTGATCAACTATATAAATGAAGTAATCAACTTTAAAAGCTTCAATAGCTGATTGTTTTACCACTTCACTATCACTCTATTCAACTGTTTATTTCTTCGAATAATGTGTTTCTCACAAAAAACAGGTTCATTCCCCATCTCTCTTGACATTTTCTTAGCTTCAGTTGTTGCCTCCTCAAATCCAATTTCTCTGTACCGATCAAGAACGAATATAAGTCATTTCAATTAATCAGTAGCAACATCAATATGCATGCCTTCTTTTTGAAGAGTTTCGCTAACAATATTAATAGCAAACAACAAGTCATGCCTTCTCCAGCTCATGAATTGCTAGGGATTTGACTTCACTCTTTAACTTAGGATCTTCATTAGTATTTGCCAAGTGAATTAAAGCATCTCTTATCTGTTGAGCGCTTTCTCTTATGGGTTTAACATTTTTGATACGACTTTCCCAACGAGTTTGTGACAACGGTTTGAGGGTGTGATTTCCTTGCACATGATCTGTAAAAACTTTTCATCGCTTTGTAAAGGATGAAAACTTCATAAAAAACTCAAAATCAAAATCAAAATCAAACATGCAAGAATAAAAATTAAATAAAATAATTACCACTTTTCTTCCACCATCTTCTTCTCCGGATCCTCAGATTGCAAAACATGTATTCCAATACCATACCCAAATAACCTACAACACAACATATGAGGCACATTCAGCATAACCTCATAAAAATGTTAATTTGTTGGGTAAAAAATTCCCACCAATGCATTCTTATACAAAAATTTCTTTAAATATTGATTTCATGCAATCCAATAACTAAATGCTTAACTCAGGAAGAGACAAAAACTTTTGCACTATATTTCTAACATAACTTAAGCCCTACAAATTTCTTAAACCCAAAAATGATATCTTAAGCAAAACCCATGAATGAATCCAATTCAAAAATTATATCTTCCAAATAACATCTCAAACAATAGCCAAGTGATTAGACAACCTCAATCAAAATGTGGAAGCAGTGTAACAAAAAGAACTAAATGCAATTGTTTAAGAACAAGGGTTTATTAGGTTAGCTTATCAATGGTAATCTAATTCTAGACTGGTTGTCTAGGGCTCTGATAATAGCTTGCTTGATTCACCAGTAGACGTACGTTGATAACTTCCATCCTCGCTTATGATCAAACTTCTCTGCCCCTCGAAGAAGCCAAATGCTCCCTTCCTGCATAAATAGATTAGTTTGTTGAAGAACTTACGGAAAGTGTTGGATAAAAGTAAAAAAATGTAAGAACCTGAATCAGGTCTTGAAAGCTTAACCATTTGCCTTGATAACTGCTGGCAACGTAGACAATAAGGGGTGGTTTGGGAGTGAGGTGCTTAAAAAAAAAAACATCCATGAAAAAAAGCTGTGAGGGTTTTAGGTGTTTGGTAAACTGAAGAAAAATGGCTTATTTTGGAAGCTACTGTGAGAATAAGCTGAAATCAAAGGAAAAAGCTGAAGCTGCTATTTGCAGTTTTGGAAAACTGGCTTTTTTTCAAAGCACACGGAGCTACAGTGCTCCTTTAATGAAAAGACCAACTATCTGACTGCTTTTTTTTCCAAAAGCACTTTTACAAAAAAGTTTACCAAACACTCTGCTGATTTATTTCACAGCCGCTTATTCTCACAGCACAGCCGCTTATTCTCACAGCAGTTTTTTTTCAAAACACAGCAATACCAAATCAGCCCTAAGTCCCTGTAGCTCCTAATGATCTTTTCTTATGACTTTCTTTTCTTACAAAGCACCTTTACAGAAGCCTGCTTTAATGTTGTCGCTGGTGCTAGACAACGTACCAATCAAACATTGAACAAAGAAAATTATCCTCTTAGACTAGCTAATGATCATTGCTTTGTAAGTCATTGTCTCATCAACTACCTAATTAAAGGAAGAGTCCACATACACTTCTAATTAGCTAGTTGATGAGACAATAGCTTTTTAGATGTGACTTGTGAGCCTATATATTGACTATTGCCTTGATAAACCTAGTGATCCGTCGACCATGCTAGCCCTTTTCTTTTGTGTTGTAATTTATATGTAATTATAATTGATGAGTTAATGGATATCCATATTGATCCTTCAGTTATTTGTAAACATACCATGAGAAATAGCTGCTTGAAAATGGATTGCAGTTTCATTTGAGTTGGTTAATAGGTAGTTAAGTTCATTAATTTGTCAGAGTCTGACCATTTGTTTGTGGGGAAATGACAAACACATCTCTCGCACACTTCTACTTAATTTGAGCCGTTATTTTTATTTGTTTTATTCAAATCGACAATAAAAAATAAATCAGCTTTAAAAAACTAAAAATGATGTGTGAAAATCACCTCCGTTGTTTATTCTAGTTTGGGCTTTGTTTTTGAAAGGGATGTGATATCCACACACCCCTTTTAACTTCTTACACATTCTTTTAAATTTCGGCCGTAAGATGAGATGAATTAAAGAATATCAAATGAAAAAAATTATTAAAAAATGTATGAGAAGTAAAAAGAGATGTGTGGATTGCACACCCATTTTTGAAATTGGTTTCCTCTTTTGGGCTTAATAAAATTTTATTTCAAAAAATGAAAAAAAAACTAAAATACCGAAGATATTCACTGCCGGCGCACAATGGCACCCATGAACTCGGCACCTCTTCTTCTTCGGCAATCTCTCCCGCCAATATCATCCCCAATCGAAACTCTGAAACCGAAAACTCCACTGCCAGTGCACAATAGCACGCTCGGCGCACGACACCTGCATATTCACCTTGTTATATAAGAGTTTGCACTGGTAAAACAACCAGAGGAAGTGGAAGTGGAAGACGAAGCAGAAGAAACCCAGATGACTACCATGCCACTCTCACAGCTCTCAATTCCAAAGGCCGATTTCCCAGAAAATCCCTCGGCCAGGTTTCTCATTTCCTTCTCTCTCTCTCTCTCTCTCTCTCTCTCTCTCTCTCTCTCTCTTTTCCCAGAAAATCAAATTTCTCTTTCTTTCTTTTCAAATTTTATGTTTGGCTGCTGAGAAAATGTGTGGAATTGATAGGATTTTAAGATGTGGGTTTTGTTCCAATTATGTTTTCGTATATGTTTGCCAAAATTTATTGTGTGTAGTAAACTAGAAAGGGTAAGCAGCATCTGATTTGTTATAATATATTTCGTTCTGAATTTATTTAGTTTGTTAAATTTTGGTGTATTTGCAGCATTATATGTTGGACTCTGAGATCAACGATGAGCTCACTGCTGCGCCGATGTTGGGGAAGGTGATGTGGTGTTAGAAATTGGGCCGGGAACAGGTTCTTTGACTAATACTCTTATTAGCGCTGGTGCAGTTGTGCTCGCAATCGAAAAGGTTGTATTTGTGTGTGTGTTTCTTCTTTCGTATGCAATGGGTCTTTGAATTTGAAATTCTGCGAAAAGAGTGGTATTTGTCGCAATGTCAAATTGTTTTGGTGTTGTGTACTGATTTGGAATAATGTTTTATGTGCTTTAGGATTCACACATGGCTACTCTTGTGAGTGAAAGATTTGCGCAGACTGACCGGTTGAAGGTAAACCACATTGTGTTCACAAATGTCCTCAGAATGTTATATTTTGTCGAGCATTCTAGAGGACCTTGGTAGTAGTACATTTCTAAAAGTACTCCTGATCTGGAGCAAGATCCTATGAATTCTGGACATAATGGAATTTAAATGTTTATGCTACTCCTTATGTTTACCGCTGATGCCATTGTGAATAGCAACTCAAGTTCTTCAACTGAAACCTGTAGGTTTTGAATGAGGACTTTGTAAAATGCCACATTCACTCACATATGTCGTCCTTATTGGGAAGTATAGAGCCATCTGGTCCAAATTCAAGACTTGCAAAAGTGAGAACCCTGCTTGATTGCTTAGAATGAATTTGACTTCCTAATGACCTGCTAATTTCTCAACGATGCATGCTCAAATGAAAACAGTTAGTCTTTTTACATGTTTACAAGTTTACAAGAATCTAAAATAGCTCATTCTCTTCATTGCAGGTAGTTGCTAATATACCCTTTAATATAAGTACAGATGTTGTCAAACAACTTCTCCCAATGGGGGACATCTTTTCTGAAGTTGTTCTCTTACTCCAGGTTGGAATTCTTTATTAATCTATGATTGTAAAGGTTTTGGTTTTCACTTAAATGTTATCTGGATTGTATATCTCATCCGAACATAGCATGAAGCTAAAAGCTTAATAGGATAGGGAAATGGGGGATAGTAATAAATTTGGATCTTTTAGGACGACTCCGGGTTTGAGTTGTGGAAATAGCCTCTTTGCAAAGCAAGGGTAAGGCTGCGTATGGTAGACGTTTCTTCCCCCCCAAACCCTTGCAAAGTGGGGAGCCTTATTGGCTTGGGGACGCCCTTTTAGGAGTGGAACAAATCAAACTGGATCCATAGACTTCTATATCTATGGATCTGATATGGGTCATAATTTGGTTCCTTCCATCACTATAATGGTAATGTTATTTCAGGAGGAGGCAGCTTTGCGCTTGGTGGAACCATCTTTGAGGACATCCGAGTACCGGCCCATCAGTATCTTCGTCAATTTCTTTTCAGGTATCTCTATCTTTGTATTTAAGTTGTACATAGTAGGCTATTGATCGTTTAATTTAATTAAATTTTACTGAAAGACTGAGATGAGTTAGACTTACGGTCTGATAAATGTCATGTTATTCCTCCTTTAACCACTGTTGGTAATCGAGTATTAGTATTCGTAGGAGATATACAAGATAAGAAGGAGAAGACATCAATGTTTGTTACTGAAGAGTCTGGCGCCGTACCAAGTTACTTTCAAATTATTCACATATTCTTTTTTCTGACCTGGGTTCTGTTTGTCATTTCCCTTTTCAGATCCTGAATTCATAATGAAGGTCCCAAGGACAAAATTTTTTCCTCAGCCTAATGTAAGAATTTATAATCCCCTAGAGGAAAAAATTATGCCTTCTAACGATGTCAATTGTAATTTGCTTGATGAATTGAGAACATAACAGACCAATTTTTTTTAAAAGACTTCAACCGAATAGTAACTAACCACAAATGCAGATTGACTGATTTTGCTTATGTTGCAGGTTGATGCTGCCGTTGTTAAATTTAAACTGAAGCAACCTGTAGACTACCCCCCAGTTTCCTCTACTAAAAGCTTCTTCTCAATGGTGTTCAATTTCTGTAGTCGGTATCATTCTTTTAGACTATCATTACAGATTTTCATTGCATCAAGTGCATTCGTCCTCTAATGTCCGCAAGCAACAGAAGCTGAAATTTCAATCTTTTTAATATCTGACACACAGTAGTACGGGGTTAGGATTTGAATAGTCATTCTAGTCAAAATATCAATATTGTGTCTAAGATGAAAAAAATGGTCAATCTCCTGTTATTTCCATGTATTATTCCATTATTTCATCTCTCCCGCAATACACAAGCTAAGCTTTGAAACCGTTGTCAAGTGTACACGATTTGATTGCCAGCGAGATTAATTAGAACACTGCCCTTCTCCTTTTTGCCCTCGTTATAGGATACCTTGTTTGCATTTGCTGATACAGGTCAATTCTGCTTTTAATGGGAAACGAAAGATGTTGCGGAGATCACTCCAGCACATATGCACTCCCATGGAGATTGAAAATGCTTTGGGAACGGTTGGTCGTCCAGCCACGGTATTGATTTGCTATTTTCCTTTTCCTGTGCACAAAGTATGTGGGAAAAGGTTCTCTAAGCTCCTGCCTCAGAATCTATTCTACTAACTTCATTCGTATTCTTATTTTTTTTCATTTCCAGTCAAGACCAGAGGAGCTATCCACGGATGATTTTGTGAAGTTGCACAATTTGATCACGAAACAATAAGATTTGTGCTCTCCCTGGAGTATAGTTTCCCCATTTATGCAAGCGGGGTTAAAATAGTTTTAAGGGGACGTAGCTGTAGGCCAAAGCATCATTTTTTGCCCATGAACCATATGACAAGGTTCATAATGATTAATGCATTGTTTAAGGTGTAATATGATCCAACGGAGTCATAAATTTGTGTATTCTTTTTTTTTAAGGTTACCAAATTGTATGTTATTTGTTATGTCTTTGTTTTTGTGGTAGGATACAGTAAGAGGATCATATCAAATGAAGTTTATGGAAATCATTCAAGATTAGGGAAGTCTGGTTCGGAAGATCGGATAGAAAGCCTTTGGCAGGGAGACTCCTCTTCACTCATTCAAGCATCCCGAAAGTCGGAGTGCCGGGTAAGTAGTAAGAGACTAATGCTAGAAATATTAAGGTTGATGTTGATCCATGTGGTGCTAACTTTTGAAGGTAAATGAGTAAACAAAGTTTTACATTCATTGAATCACCCAAATCTTGCAACCACAAGGGAAGCATCAACCGTCGATTCATAGTTGATCTTATTGTGCGCCCCTGCTGCTTTCTGTTGCCAGCTTAACCCTTCATGTACCATGTAGACGCCATATATCACGTTTACGTTCTGTGAGTCGACTCGAGATGATAAACCATCTTATTTTTCAGAGATAAACATCGATAAGAGACTTCAAACCAAGCTTATTGAGTGATGTTATAGTGAGTGAACCCAACAACCAATTCTGATTTGCTATGCTCTTTGCCGGCAATAGTGGCCATCATCAGCGTATCGAACATGAGTTGGGTTTCAATTGATTTCTTATCCACCATCTTCTTGGTACCTACATGGTTCACAGTTATGTCTATGATGATAATCTTCTTCCTTCCCTCATTTTCGCTCAGAAACATTCTCCGCAGCGCATGCGCCGTGGCTAACCAGGTCCAGAACTCAGGATCTGCGATGGTATTTTCAAAAAGATGAGATTGCAAGTATGCAGGAATATCATGACCCAATAAGCCATACTTGCAACCCAAAATTTTCTTTCATCTTGAGGGGAATTTGACGAACTATCATGAACGATGTAGGGATAATACTTGTAACTATACAGTCTTCACTAGAATTAGAAGCAAGTGAAAAGAGAATTGGGGAACGATGTGAAGAGAAATGAAGAGAAGATCATCGGCTTCCACAATCATTAGTATTAATAGAACATGCACAATTATAGTAAATTAGTAAGTAACATTAGCACCAAGTCTCCCCCTAAAAACCATTTCCATGGCTTAATTCATTACTTCAAAGTACATTAAAAGTGTGATGTATATGGAAATTTGAGAAAGCAAAAACCCGCTTTGTTTGCGTTTCAAAGTAACTTTTAAGTCGAAATAAGTTTTAGATGCAAACTTATTATGATTTTTGGCTAAGGTCATTCGTTGTCATTTCTCCCTGTCATTTCTCCAATATCTTCTCTCTTTTTGAGCTAAAAAATTGAAGTCCAGACACAGAATTCAGGATTATGTTTTTGTGTTTTTGAAGTTTCTGTTACGATGAATTACTAATTATGCAACAACGAACACCCAATTTTCATAATTTAAAAAGACAACTTACTTTAATGATCATGCAAGACTAAACAATAGTAAGGTAGTAACACATGAAAATTCGTAGTCATTGAGAATCTGATTAGTTTTGCCGATGCAAACAAGAAGAACGATATAGCACTAAGAATCCAAGTTTTACTCACCCTCCTCAATCAGTGGAGTCAGAAAACCCTTGAACCTGCAGTCCATGAACTGGGGCGGAGCTGTTCCAGTGTTAACTTCTAATTCGAAAGGCTTGAACTTCATACCTTGACTGCAAGGTGAAACTATATCAAAAAAGGAGAAATATAATCAGTCTTTCAACCAAACAATTGTTCTACCTGATGAAATTTTTTGAAAGGCGAAAGAATACATAAATCCGTTATAGTTCAAGTTAGCGAACAACCACATGGTGCTAGGCACTGAGAGACCTTGACCCTTTACATCCGGTCTGGCTACATATGCTCTGGGCACTAAACTACCTTTTTTCAGTGAAAAATGCAAAATTAAAAGGCACGAGTTTACAAATTGTTACCTGGCTTGGCATGCAAAATTCAGACTAATAACGTAACTGTAATAAGAGTAGTGTGTATACACATATTAGTCAAAGGAAGAAGGTTACAGAAACAGTAAGGCTGGGATGATTACCTTGTTCCAGAATGATATATCAATTGCTAGGAAAGAGGATATATGCTCATCGGTTGTACCGATGCCCCCTAAGGGTCTGAAAGGAGGCTGAAACCTTTATAAAGAGAGGGGGAAAGAACAAGAAATACCATTGCCGCATTGCGTATGGTTTTTCTTTCTTTTAACTTTTAAGTAACAGAAAAAGAGAGGAATGCAATTCTTCAGTTACAGGGAAGAAAGTCATTGAGAACATAACAGAACAATTCCATCAAAACTGTAATCTATTACTGATTTACCACGAGTACTGGAGATTGATGTATTTTTTCTTGTGCTGCAGATCGATGGTTGTTTCGATTTCCACACTCAAGATCATGCTTTTCAGAACATATCAAAAATTTCTTGGCAAAAAGTCAAGATAAACTTGTTCCTGCCATGAAGCAAGGGGCATAATTACTGCAGTCTCAACCTTATTGGTGTCCAGCGCACTGTAACGAGGATTAGAGTAGTCATTCTCCAACAACACATGAGTTATGCTTTGGATTCTTTCCTATGTGTAGATGATATCACTCTGCATTTAATGGGAAATCTAAGATGTTGCGGTTCAGTACAATGCACTCCCATGATGATTGAAAATGCGTTGGAAAATGTTGGTCAATTATATTCTGCCAACTCAACGTTGCGATTTATCAGCAGTCAAGACCAGAAGATCAATCCAGGGATGATCTTGTGGAGTTTCACAATTTGCATTTACAGTATCACAATATAGAGAGCATAGCCTGTTCTAGCACATGAGCTGAAGGATTGCAGCATTTTTCACTCAAACGCAAATGCAACAATACGTACAAGGAGCTGGAAAAACTCCATCAAAGTGTTCCTAGGAAAAAAACTAAACATCGGCAGACTTGTTAGAAGCAGCATATATGACCGATAAACTATGTTCAAAGGTTAGACAGTGATTAAGATTTGTTCACTGCATAATGCTGCAATATTACGAAATTAAGAAAATATATTATCACTCGTGTCGTTGTGTTTGTTATAAGTCCCAGTAAAAAGGTTGCCCCCAATTAATTTTTTTGCAGAGATATTGACAAGTAGAACAATTTTCTCATTCAACATATTACTACTGATACTTTCCTATCAATCGACGAAAATCCATAACCATCGAGTCCACAATCATACATTTCTATTCCATCACATAAACAAAACCATACATTAGAACAAATAGTAACCACAAAAAACTCACTGTATTCATGTCCTTGTGAATCGTCGGATTCATTGCAGTGCAAAACGCAACAGAACTCCTCTGTAGTTTCCCCTGTTTTTGCTCTGTTTCCACCCAGCTCAGCCATGAAACTGGTACACAAGCTCCAAAGCCCTCTCCTTTGAGCCATGAGGATCAAAACCCTTCACACTCCCCACAAACCCATCACCGTTCATCCGCCTCTCCTCCGCCAGGGCCGCCGCAGAAGGCGAAAGCCGCCTCTTGGGCCGCTTGTTCTTGATGAAGCAATCCCTCATCTGCTCCTCAACCATGTCAATTGTGGGCCTGGAATCCCCCTCTCCAAAGCCATCACAATCATCGTCGCCATCGCCATCGCCGACTTGCATGGGCTCGTTGCCGGTGGCGGAGGAGAGGGAGTTCTGTCGCTGGGGCTGGGGCAATTTGTGTGTGGAGAGAAAATTGGAGAGGTGCAGGTGGGCTTGGTGGAGGGAGGAATGGATGTGGAGGAGGTGAGTGGGGTCGGCGGTGCAAGGGAGCTGTTTGGCCATAAGGGTTGCTTGTTCTAGGGAGAGGATAAGGTCGGACAGTGGTGGCGGTGGTGGTGGTGGTGGGAATGGTGGCGGCGGCGGTTCTGGGTCTGCTTCTGCCATGGATTCCATTGGAGAAGTCTCAATCTTTGCAGTGATCAGTATCTGTAGAAATCAATCAATCAATCAATCTGTTGTTTAACTGGAAAGTAATGAAAGCTGCTTCTGCTTCTCCAAGAAATTGTTTGCTTAACGGGATGACGACACTCGGAGATTCTAAGGATCAGAGACCGCGTTATGAGTTCGGGTTTTTGTTTTGTTTCTCCAACATAACTGGTTACTTCTTCTGTTTGCTTAGACTGCGTGTTGTCACTTCTCAGTCCTTCCAGTTAAGAAGCCGGGCGTTCATGTAAAAACCTTCTTTTTGGTACCGTCCATCCTTAAAATTAGAGACGGTTACTCTTCAGGTTTAGGTTAAAATTGATATATATCGTCGATATTATTAACACATTTATTAAATATCGAAAAACTCTTATATTTCGTCTAAACTAAGATTTGATATACCCAAAGTTTCATTTTAAATTTCCATCATTTCTATAAAAAACAACTAATGTCAATATTTCTACAAATTTGAATATCAATATTTCTACAGATACCAAAATTTTAAATTGCTTGAGATTTACTTTTTATTTTTTATTTGATTTTTTTAACTTTTATGGCTTTAAAACTTTTTAATTTTTAAGAGAAAATTATAGTAAAGGTTCCTTAACTAAATATCCATTACCATTGGTCCATAAACTCATCAAAACGTGCAGCTATGGTTATTTTCGTTAGAATTTTGTTAAAATGAGTTATGTTAGAATGACCATTGCTACAATTTGATTAAAGTTGAGGGATCATTTCTCCAATTGGGTTAAAGTTGAGTTACCCTTTCTATAATTTTCTCATTTGGTTTTCCATATTTGTCTCTCGATCCAGCCTCGTGTGTGGCACGACCCATTTTGACAAAAGTTCTATCGGAGTTGAAGAAAATGATCATAATTGCAGGTCTTGAAAAGTTTAGGGATCAATGATCGTGAATTTTTAGTTGATGGACCATTACTTTAATTAAATTAAAATTAAAGAACCATTGATGCAATTTCCTCTTTTTAATTGCAACGATATATTAAACTGTGGCGTATGCAAAGCCAACCAAATAGGGAAATGTTGATTACAGCCCAACCAAACCAATACGTACCAGCAAATCATAGCCCAGAATCCCATCAATGTAAAATTGGAATTCACTGTTTTCTTTACCTTTTCCTCAGGTCGTGAGATAAATACTCTTAACCGCGTAGGCTTTAAGCAATGTATAAAATATCGATGATATCGAAAATATTGGTAGTTAAAAAACACGGAAATTTTATTGGAAATATCGGGATATTATCGATATCGATAAAAATTGAATAAAAACCACGGAAATTGTAAGAAAAACTTGGAAATTTTTATTGAAACTTTACAGAATGTTTATTTAGTCAATTATCTATTAGTTTATCACAAAAAATTGGAAGGAAATGTATTATATGATGAATTTAACTGATTTAAGTTGATTATATAGCGAGCTGGCAAACATTGTGAGTGTAGAAAATATGTGGTAATTAATAAAAGAAGTTTAAACATGTCACATCCTAGCCCGGGTCCAACACATCCCAGGCCCGTTCCACCACCGTAGTACAATATTGTCCGCTTTGGACTTACCATTCCCTCACGATTTTGTTTTTAGGAACTCACGAGCAACTTCCCAATGGATCACCCATCATGGGAGTGCTTTGGCCTCTTTCTCGCTTAACTTCGGAGTTCCTAAGAAACCCGATGCCAGTGAGCTCCTAAAAGGCCTCGTGCTAGGTAGGGATGAGAATATACATTTAAGGATCACTCCCCTAGGCGATGTGAGATGTTACAAAACACACCATAATCATTTATATATAATGAATTAGTACAATATTTTACACTTTATACATTACATGGTAAGATACATGAGTGACTTATTACCCTTTATTTTTTTTTATTTAAGAATTATATGGTTGTGAGTGTTTTATTTAAAATTTATATTGAAGATGCTCTTAAATTATGTAAAATTGTGATCGAAAACAATAATTTATAATTTATATAAGATATATATACACACATACACACACAATATATATTTATTTATTTATTTATTCCACTTTATAAACCGTCCACCTCACCTAGCTCTTTCTCATCACCCATCCACCTTGGGTGGTTTTCATGATTAAAACCATCACAGAGTCCATGGTTTTCAATTTTTAAACCATCCAAAACGTCAACCTTATCTGCTATCTCACATTACCCAATTTTTTGAATCCTCAACTTGCACAACCACCGCATATTCTTCGCACTCTCTCATCTCTGCTCTCACTCACTCTCTCTCTCTTCGCACTTTTTCATCTCCGCCTCCGCCTCCCTCACCGATCCCATCGACAACAACCCCACCTTTGGTGTTGACTCCAACGACGACCACCATGACCACCACGACCTCCAATTGCCCCCAAACCCCAACCTCAACCTCCACAACAACCACCTATTCTCCTCATCTCCCCCCCCCCCCGCGAAGCTTGCCCCGCCGTCGCCGCGCTCGCCTCCGTCTCTGTTCCACGTCTGCTTCAACCAAGACCACGCCTGCTTCGTCGTGGGGACAGACCACGGATTTTGGATCCACAACTGCAATCCGTTCCGCAAGCTCTTTCGTCGCGACTTCGACAATGGCGGCAGAATTGGCGTCGTTGAGGCTCAGATCTTGGGTCTGAGCCTAGATTGCAGAGAGAGATCTAGACAGCTGCGACGACGCAGCCTTGGCTGCCTTTCCGACGACGGAGCCACAACGACTGTTTCGATAATATCGAATATATCGCAATATTATCGATAATATCGCGATATTTTGATGATAATTAAGGGATATGTGGAAAAATATCGATCTCTCTGAAAAACGATAATATCGACGATATTTCGCCGATATTATCGATATTTTAGTCATTGGCTACAAGACCCTTGCACTATAATGACAAAGGAAACGACCAAGACCAAGCAGCGACATATACAGATGAACTCGACTTGTTTCCACAGAGAACACTAAAAGTAAAAGGTTATACACAATGTCTAAGCTTTCAACATCCGAAGATAATCGTCTATTATAGACATTGAAGATGAACGATAACCCGAACCAAAGAGGTTATAATGATTCAAGTAATGATACAACAGATATAACTCCTTCCTCTTATCAAATCCTGGTTGTTTTGGCATCACCTGGACACACATAGGAACTCATTAATTAAGAAATGAAAATAAAAATTAAACTGGCGAATAAATTGTAGCAATGATCCTTAACTTTAACTCAATTGGAGCAATAGTCCCTCAACTAAAAACCATTACCATTGGTCCCTCAACTCATTAAAACATGCAACTATGGTCCCTCAACTAAAAATCCATTACAATTGGTCCCTCAACTTTAATCTAACTAGAGAAATGGTCCCTCAACTTTAACCCAATTGTAGTAATGGTCATTCCAACATAACTCATTTTGACAAAATTTTGACAAAGTTGACGAAAAAGATCATACCTACAAGTTTTGATGAGTTGAGGGATCCCAATTGTAGCAATAGTCCTTCCAACATAACTCATTAATTAAGAAATGAAAAAAAAAAAATGAAACTGGCAAATGAAAGCTTAGACCAAGACATTGGGAAACAACTTCGGTTTGCTAGGTCGGACTTACGTATTCAATTGAAACCTCAGACCAAGTGCATTCATCAATGCCAAATCCTACTTAAAGTTCTAGTTATGATCTTCTCCTTTGAAAGTTATGTCCTACCGATGACTCTCAAACATGTTTGTATGAATATAGGCGCAGGAGTACGTAAACCAGAAACGGAACAGAGATTAACTATATGCATGATACTTCATTGCTTCGAATTGGTTTCCTGTTTTATCCACAAGAAGAGAAGGGTGAAAAAAGGATCTACCTCGAAATAGGAACTGTAGAAAGATCCTCCAAAGCCAGCACACCACGACATTCCAAATTCTGCCTCGTTATGTCCATCTATACGAAAAGCAGCTGACAGTACTTAGAATTTAAAAAAATAAATACTACATCATTTTCCGCGATTCCAGCAATGCAAAATATATTGCAACCATCAGTTTTTCAATCTCAAAACCAAAACAAGAGTCTGCATGTTTCTGTCTGTTGATAATCATCAGAGCCAACTTCTATCATAAGATATACAAACCATGCTGTATAATTTTGTATATCAAAGCACGTGGTGGGATTTGGATTGATTTCATACTTTCAACTCACCGTCTCTTCCCGAAGATATATGAAAATATCTTATGCTTATATGAAAATATCTTATGCTCCATGATAGTATTTCATTTCAAACGACAAGTATAGGCCAGCCTTCAACAGTAACAGTTAGAATTATATGCTTATATGAAAATATCTTATGCTCCATGATAGTATTTCATTTCAAACGACAAGTATAGGCCAGCCTTCAACAGTAACAGTTAGAAGCAACACAGTTCAATTTTAAGATGCTCTATCCTGACAGAATCTGATAACCGAACTAACTTAACTTACAGTAACATGCTGGATCAAGTATAACAGGCTCGCCATTCTTATCAGCGCTGATATTTCCGCTCCATAAGTCCCCATGTAACAAACATGGCTCTATTGCTATGTTATCAAAGAGCGATCCCATACTCTTAATCAATCTTTGTCCTGTTATATACGATCAACCAGTAACTAACACATTCAATAATAATACAATAAATGGTGCAAACTCATGATTTATTCTTGGCCAATCGATCCAAATAAATCATCCTCAAAGGTACGTAAAAGCAGCCATGATACAAAATCAACCATAGGAAGACTATATATACCTTTTTCATATATGGTACTATCACCGTACTGGTCTAATGCCAGCTGCAACTGATAACCCAGTCTATGCTCCCCATAGAACTGAATCCAATCTGATGACCAAGTGTTTATCTGTGGAGTGCTGCAAGGAAAAATTGGTTTCATATACCTCATTTTTATTAAAAGTGTTTATCCTCGAACTCAAGAATTGTGTGTGCGGATATCAGCATGTGTGACTGCACATGATTACAATGCCCGCCGACCTGCCTACAGTGTTGTCAACTTCAAAACCAAAACCTTTTTCAGATTTTCCAGCTTTATGCATTTCAGCAAGCTTCCTGCCTAGAACAGACTGAATACAAATATACCATTAGAATTCAATTACAAGTCATCGCCACCTATATCAAATACATAAAAAATTCACCTATCCTCACCTGATTACCTCTAAATGAACCAAATTCGATAAATTCCATAATG